ACACGTGCATCTTGCCCCTGATTGCTGTGAGACCGGGTTGGGGGGTGGGGGGTGCAGCTGTGGTTGGGACAGTTATTACATTAACTGATGGACCTGTAAATAAATAGTTTATAAATAAGATAGAAATAGATAGAAATAAGTTCCTCATGCTGATAAATAATAACTAATCTCTCTGAGGACAAGGTGCTAGTGCACGCTCCTACAGCACCTTGACACGACTACATAAATGTTATGCAAAATTTTGTGAACATCAATTTATTTGCATTTATTTGTTATAAATGCCACTGTATAATTCTTGCTGTCAGTATTTGTAGGATTGGTATTTGGGTCTGTACTGGTAAGACTTAAATGAGTTAAATCGAGGTCTATAGCCCTTGGGTCATAAACTATGAGCTAAAAGTATATTGGTCCTTTTATACTGGGAATCAGGTGTTATTTTAGTGATCATCTTCTTTCTTATTTATTTTTGTCCTGATTGTTCCCTGAGCAATTTTATGACAGAATAAAAACAGATAAAATCAACATAAATTGAAAAATCGTCTTAAATAATCGAGATCTCAATTTCAGTCACAATAATCGTGATTATTATTTTTGCCATAATCGAGCAGCCCTAGTGCTCAGTCAGTATCAACATAAATGCATAAATAAAATAAAAATACTTTTGTCAGGCGCAGTCAGGCATAACATTAAATTTCTCTTTTTTTAAAGCGAAAATACGCGTAAAAAAATGTACAATGCACATCCAAAACAAAACATATTGGCTTTCGTGTTATTTAAATCTTACTGAGGTGAGTCAGACTGTTTCATTCAACTGTCCGATGTGCTTTCTCTTTAAGTGTTCATGCATCACCGAGGTGCTGCCGTGATACGCAAGGACTGCTTTGCAAATAATGCAGGTAAACCTTTTATTTGTAGAATCCAGGCTAGAATGCTCCCAAACTTTAGGTGTTTTGGTACGCGTAGCTGCTGTGTTGGACGCCGCCATTTCTGTTAGTTGGCGCTCAGCAGAGAAGCTATTGCGCATGTGCGACTCTCGGCAGAGATCGAAATGAAGTGAGATGCCTCACTCGGTCGGAAAAACACGTCTGGCGACAATGTCGACAATGAAATTCATTGTGGACTATTTCTATTGTCGATATTTGTCGACGAATCGTTGCAGCCCTATTTGAAAGGAGAAAAACTGACAAGCTCCCAGCTGGCTAGGAATTAAATCGGTTTCAATATAATCTTGCTTCCAACATAATTGAGACATTAGACTCTTTTGTGATTATTTCACTGTAGAATTCTGACATATTGCTCCTTTATTTACAGCTGAGCCCTAGTAGCACCAGATCAACAGCATCATTAGGTAATGAGAATAAAAATGAATTACTTTACTATGACCTCCCACAGAAAAGACAAAAAAACAGGGTTAGAAAATATATGTGTAGGTCAGCAGTCAAATGTTTTTACATCTATTTATATTTTCACATAATTTTGCCTAAATATAAACATCTGATGAAAAAAATATCCGTTCTTAATTTTAAAATGTAATAATTGAAACATGGTGTTTTTTAAAGAGACAACAAATCCTGTATAGTAGATATTAAGAGAAAACATTTCTGACTTTAATCTCAGAATTCTCATAATTCTCCCCTGAATTTTCATGTTATTCTCATAATTGAGGAGAAAAAACTTCCTTCTGTCGATATTTATGAAAAATTATAAATTGCATATTTTTGTAAGATAAAAAAGCAACATGTTTTTTGGAACATACAGGATGCACCTTGCTGAACAAAATCTCACTTCTTGTCTGTTAATTATTTAATTTCATGACAATCCGCATACGGTGTCAGGAAAAAAATAGACTACACGCGGAAACATAAAAGTTCTACATCTAGGTCTGCACAACACCGCAGCTGGTGTGAATGCTCTGATTGGACTCAATGAGCTTAAATCATTTGCAGAAGCTAGGGCTGGGCAATATGGCCTTAAATCAATATCACGATATATTAAAGGGACTTTACAGAGTTTTGAATTTTTATGCTCGCGATTGCCCCCTCAGGCCAAAAGTGTAACGGCAGCTTCAATAGTAGGCTCGTGCACGAGGCGCACATGCTGTACGTGCACACTCCTTAACGAAAATAACAGCTGAGACAGTCCCTTGTGTGTGTGTGTGTGTGTGTGTGTGCGGCCCGGAGGACAGAGGACAGGAGAATGCACAGCTAATTAATTAAATAATTTGATTCTATACTTTTCTCTTCAGCACAGCCGACAAAGGTTTAAGATGGGTCAGTCCTCAGCATGCTCAGATCATTCATTCCCTTGCTTGAAAAATTGTTCCAAAATGAAAGTTGAACCCACATCTTTTTTATCTGTGAATTCAATGCCGTTCGGCGAGTCTCAAATAAAAATTTGGGCATCTAACTGTAAAAAAAATACCATTAATGTAAAAAAGAAACTCTAAATAAACTATCTTGACATCCAGAATCGAACCCAGGTCTTCTGCACGAGAATCCGACGTCTTACTAGGTGAGCTAAAGCACCAGTGACATATTTTGTATTTGTAACATTTATATCCTTGGTAACAGCTGAAACAACGTTCAAAGAACGGTTCGGAGAGAAAATGGGTATTTTGTTGCTAATTTGCAGGAAATATCTAGAAGAAAGTTCTACAGAAAGTAGCTAAGGGTCCTCAGAAATGTAGCTAGCTTAGTCACTAGGCGTTAGGAACAGCGACAAAGTGGCACTGCCTCCCTCTCTGCTGCTAAATCTACGGATAGCAAATGCTACGGGCTATGCCTGCGCGTGAACGAGCATGAAGCAGCCTGCTCGACCTGAGCAGCTCTCTTTTTCTGTGATTTTACAGAAAAACAGGCAATCACAGTAAAAATGCCAGGGCTCATTCTACAGGACCAGGGCATTGCAGGAGAATGTATGAAGAAGAAATTTATTATCTATACATGCTTTGGCTGTCAAACTTCCATAATGCCCATTTAAGTATTTCATCTCAATAACGATAAATGCACGATAACTACAGGTGTGCGCAGAAACAAAAGTTGTCCACTAGATGGGGCTGTCACATGTATTACGTCAAGTCACATTTTTACATGACTCAATACGGTAGAGCTTCTTAAAGCGACACAAACGTTGCCAACCTGCATACATCTTTTCATTTTTAATTATCAAATTTATTGACATGGGAACAAGTATCTCAATAAGGGTCAGAATTTTCGAAAATGATACATTTTGAATTTATTGTCCAGCCCTAGCGGAAGCCATACGGAGTCCAGACCACATCCATTCTGCACTTGGTGTAAATGATGGCTAAAACTGGTATGCCCAACCCTAGATCATGATCCAACATACTAGTTGCTTCAACACACCTGACTCAGTGTTTCAATTATCTATTTAGTAGGTTACCAAGCTCTGCAGAAATCTGTTAACCAACCTTTGATTAAAATATGGTGGGCTAAAGCAAAAAATCAACTAAACCATGCTTGATAAAGACTCTTGGGGACCAGGGTTGGACACACCAGATCCGAAAGGGAAACTGAGAGTCTTGAAAGGTGCTTCCAAATAAAATGTATTATTTATTATTATTATTATTATTATTGTTATTATTATTATTATTAAAACACACCAGGACTGGACCTTGTTAGTTTAAACCATGCTACATGTAGATGTCATTCATTGGCAATGCTTGTTCCTCAAACTGGAAATGTACACTGACCCGACAGGAAAGCAAAGGGGAGATTTTTGTAACATACATTTCATTCAGCTTTGGAGATATCTGGGATGATATATTGAAAATATGATGCCAGTCAGTCATGTGAGTTCATGATACTCTGGCTCAGAGTGGAAGCAGCTGATGAGCACATCATGCCAGGTCAAACACAATTCATAACACTTGTTTCCATTTCACAATGCACACTACAGCAAGCCATATTTGTTTTAACTCTGGTATGCATTTTACACTTTGGTAATTCTCCATTCTTTCATAACTTAGAATAGAATAACTGTTTCCATCAACTTTCCTTACATTTTCCTAATCTAAGAAGCAGAAAAGAAACCCAGTTACTGGCCGATATGGTGTTGTGTAATATCTGTGCGTTATGCTGAAGGAGTAAAAAAATATATTGAAAATGACTATTTCATCACTTAAAATGATGGATCAATGTGTGGAAGTGTGGAAAAATCTGGCAACTATAATAATTTATGAGTGACATCTTACAACTGCTGACACAACCCAAAGCACAACAACATGAGGACAAATTTGATCCTTTAATTAGCAAAACAAGGCCAGGAAAATGTGCAAGCCTAAGTCCACAACTATAAGATAAAATGAATCTTTATGTTTTGGATACTTCAATATAACTATGCTACTCCCATTCAAGAATTAATAACCCATTCACTTAAATCAGGTGTGTTGAATGAGAGAAACATCTAAAGGATGCGGTACCAGAAGACCAGGATGAGGGAACACTGATGTAAGACCAGCCTCTCTACATAAAATATTGTTATATAAATACATCAGACTCATGTACAGTCAACAACTGTAATCTACTGCTTACATTTTCCCTCCAAAAGCCACTACACTGTTAGAGTAGAGCTTTCAGTTTTATTTGGCGTTAATAATACAGCATTAAAATGTAACACTCAATATCTGATTATGTCACTAAATAATTTTCTTTAATTTCCGCTGCAGTTTCTAATATTATTTCGTAAATAATGTTCTTGTCATTTTAATGTGGGCAAAAAAATAATACACATTCTAGAAACATTTCGCAATTTTCTAGCATAATTTCTAGAGAAGCTCCTTTGTGGCAAAACGTGGCAGCCAATATTCAATCTCATTTATACATCCATATTCTCCTACAGTGCAGACACAAAAACATGCAGCGGAGCAGAACAAAGCATTTCAGCACTGTTCAGTGAGGATGAGTCCAGCCTCTAGGAGTGTGAGTGTGTGTGTTATCCATCACTAGAAATGAGAATTGCAGATGTTTTGTTTCACCTACCTGACCGGGCTGCTTGATAAACGCAGACACTCTTGGGGTTGAAGCTCACGATTAAAAACGAACATAGAAATGTAACGAGAGGTGCGTAGATAGTCCTGATTTGGGTGAAACGAGACGGTGCTGCGTTAAGTTTGTTGTGTGTCGCTGTGTAAAGTGTCAGCAGAGGACTGGAAACAGCGAGCTGTGTGGAGGGGCTTTAACACGCCGCTGGCTGCTGCCACCCTCAGCTAACCGAAGCCTACTTAGCTCAGTGTTAAGTTACTATATCGCCCCTTTGTTTCGGGTTACGAGCAGCTCGCTGCGTGCTAACGAAAAGCGCTAACTAAACGTTTTGCACCACTGGCGCTGAGGTAACTTCCCAAGCTTACCTGGAAAGTGCTTTAGCTGCCAGACAACGGAGCCGCTAAATAGTATACATTTATGTTAGCTTAGCTTAACGACGTTAGCAAGTGCTGCGTTCGAGGAACGACAATAACTCGTAATTTTCTGTTAATTGGTATTAGCTTATCGAAAAAGGACCTTCAATTCTTAATTTCCCACTCGGGAACTCGGGGAAAAGTTGGCTACTTCAAATTCTTAGTTTTCTAATACCTAATGAGGTGATTTGCCTATATTAATGTAATATTTCGTTACATTAATTACAAAATCTAATTTAGTCATAATTTACTTAAACAAATTGCCCTTTTGTAGCAGTATTCCAGTCAGGAGGGAGTCTAATACGGTGAGGGGATTCTACTGCTTGTACAAATAGGAGAAATTTTAAAAAATCCCACACGAGAGAAAATTATGCTATTTTAAACTTAACTTCCCAATTCCGAGGCACATTAAACGCAGCATTATCGACTCTTGTCGCAATTGGTTTCCCAAGACGAGGCGATAGTGCTGGTTGATGGCTGCCAATAATAACGATTTATATTTCTACTTTACAAATTTTGGCTTAAAAAAGTGAAGTGCATTGTTTGTCAACTAGAATTTACATTTAGCATTTTTATCTATTCGAAATGTTAGCTTGAATTGCCATGAAGTTTTCCAAATAATAAATATATATATATTTTTTTTAAATACAAGATTTAATAGTATTGTCTTTGGAAGGCTGCTACCTGGCAGCATTCAGTCTGCCTTCATTGCTCAACAACTCTCTTTAATATATTCATGAGATCACAGGGCTAATGTCTCCCACAGAGAGATTTCTTCTTTCCTTCTCTTGAAGTCTGGCGGCTGAACGTTTGCAGACTAGAGCAGAACACTTTGGAAGAAAAGGGGAGGTGGGGTATAATCCAGTATGACGTCATCTGACAATGATCACTTATGTATGATCCATACATCATGCAACATGGTGTGTGATTTCTACTTGCAGTCATTATGCACCTACACTACACTTCTTATGCCTCATGTGCAGCACAAAAAGCTTACACACACACACACAGATGCAAGAGGCAGCATCTGTGTCACTTAAACCCAGGCAGTGTGTTAGCAGCAGGGCCAGCCATGCTTCGGAGTCATTAGAGGTGTCTGCAGTATCTTGCCAGAGGGCAGTGCAGTGTGGAGAATAAACAGTCCAACCTGCCTGTGTTTTTCAGACCTCTGTTGCCCTGGAAACAGGTTCCTGAGATTTCCCATTTCTTCATTTTTTTCTCCTCTCTCTATCCATATCACCCCACTACCACCACCTCTACACTCCACTTGCTGCAGCTGCCTTTGCTGCTACCTCCCCCACGACCTGCCGCATAGTACAATCATGCACAATTCCAATCTGCTGCAGTCATTTCACAATGTCACAGCATGAAGCCCACATAGCCACACAGAAACACCAAGAGGGTGCAGGCAGCTGAGGCACTGACCCTTCTCTCACTCAAAGGCTGAACGGCCATCACTGCTGCAACAGTCTGACTTCCAGGGGGAAAGAGGCAGGCGGGGGCTGAAAAGACAGAGGAAAAAGACAAACCAGGTTATGACTTTGTGTTTGATGGTAGTCCATATACAATATTGTCTACACTGTTTCTCTCAATAATGACATTTACACATAATTCCTGCAGGTGGGTTCTCATAATGTTAACACCCATTTACTGTCTGCAGTTATTCCCTAAAGAGCTAAATAGAGAAGGAAAATAGAGCGCCGTGAGTGCTGCCCTGTCTCCTCACTTTCAGGCCTTTTTAAGTCATCCCTGTGTTTCTGCTCTGTTGTGTGTGCATTCCTTTGTCGTGACTTCTCTTTGGCAGGAGGCAGAGCATTCCAGGGAAATGGCTGACCTAGAATAACACACACAAAGTCAGGATGACTGAGGCAGTGAGGTCCTCCACCCTCTCACTGGCCGAGCTTACTGAAACTGCTGTTTACTGATCGTGTGGAAAAATACAGCCATACAGTGCGCTGTGTGGATGCAGCTGGGAGAGCAGCTCACATGACTGTTATCACAAGAACACATGACAGCACTCTCCCTCTGGCTCCACTGTGACTCCACTGTCATTTCCTCTAAATATACGGGATCTCAGTCTACACCCACTGCCTCATCAACAGGCCCGCTTCTCCAGGACGGGATCACCAGCTGCTTCCCAAGATGGCAAAGTCAAGATCCGGTAATCCTATGTAACAATCAGGGAAAACGAGCAGGTCGCTTTAAATGTTTGGAGAAATACACGCCTGTCAGTCCTGCTACATCACCCTCCTTTTTATCCCATCAAAAGCTTGTTTTACAGGAAGAATACATATCTGCAATGCAGGCAGACCAGTTGATCATTCACAAGCTGTGCTTATGAAGCCACGCCGTTAGAAAATATGCGCAATGAGGCCTGACATTATTCTGTAGGTGTTGGCAATTGTATTTTTAATGACTGGTAAAATTATTTCAACAGCTTGGTACTAAGTAGTTAACCAGCACAGATCTTTACTTGGAAAGACTAATCCCATCCTTGGCTGTTTCCCTTGGCTCCGAGCTTATAGTCTAATTGGACAACCCCATTAAAAAGACAGAACATGATCAATTGTAGCTGGTTCTTTTATGCGAAGTGGCACGTTGTGTTCTTCCCAGAGTTCCAAAATGTCCAGTCATGGTTCCAACCTTGTGATTGACATGAACAAATGACACCTGTTTTTAAAGTTTGTCAAAGGTATGGAACGCTGAAAAAACATGTTTTGAATATCATTTCTGACTATAATCAGTCACTCTGAGTTTTTCATGCAGGCTGAACATGAAAATCTCCTACACCTATCTCCTGCATTTGCTTCTGATAGAAAAATAGACGGCAAAATTCTAGGATTCGAAAAGCCTGACAGATCTACGTCAAACTGTTGCGTAACATTCACTGATCTTGGCTCATGACGGGGAAGGCCGTTGCTGGTTTTAACGTCCGGGAAACAGCAGAGAATGTCTCTGCTAGTAGCAGCTGACCATTAGCATTAACAACTCCACCACATAGCAGAAGCTCCTCCAGGCTTGTGTTATTTGTGGAGATGAAATATCAATGTTGCATAGCAGAGTCAGTGGTAGAGTTGTGTTGCTGTTATCCAATCAGAGGAGAGATGTCAGAAAATAAGACTCCAAATTCTGCTGTCTGAAGCTTTTCTCTGTACTGGCTCACTTCTAGTTCTTGAAATAGGTGCACCAGGGCTTTGTTTCCCCAGAGTACAAACAAGACATTCATTCCTACTAGAGACCACTGCAAATGTATGGATTAAATGGTACTGCTCCCATCTACCTGAATCCTCTTGCAAAGGCTTACATCTCGGCCCGGCCGCTCTGGTCATCACAGGATCGTCAGCTAGCAGTGCCTACACCACGCTCAGGACAATCCAGACTATTCTCATGCATTGTTCCACAAATGTGGAATGACCTTTCAAGCACTACCAGAACAGGGGCTTCCTTTTCAATTTTCAAGAAACTCCTGAAGACCCTGCTCTTCAGAGAGCATATTCTTAACTTGCACCCCTCCCTGCACCCGCCCCCCCTCTCTACTGTCCACTTCTTGTTCCCTACTCTCCATGACTGATGTCAAGTTGTTGTTGTTGTTATTGTTGTTGTTAGCCTCAAGGGCAATATGCCGATTATCACTTGTAAGTCGCTTTGGACAAAAGCGTCTGCTAAATACATAAACATAAACATAAATGAGTGTTCCACACCTTTATGGAAAACCTACTGTGATGCCAAACTAAATGACATCGAGCTAAACATTGCCATGACTGCTGTAATAATAAAGTGTTTATGATAGTAAACATCAGGTTTGCTTGTTGAGTTACTTTTTAATGCAGTTAATCATTCAGTCACTCGGCAATTTAAGCAACGACATGTGGTAAAAATGCATTGTAGAGTTCAAACTGCATCAAAAGGAAAAGAAACAGGGTTTAGAGGAACAAACCATGGTTGCTGGTGCCAGACGATCTGAGTATTTCAGATACTGATCTCCAGGGATTTTCACCCACAACCATCTCTAGGGTTTAGAATGGGTTAGGGTTAGCAGCAGGTGTGTGGATAAAATGTCCCGTTAAGGTCAAAATGGCTCTAGATGATATAAAGATGATATAAAGGCAATGAATACAAAACAGCGTCTCAGAACCACAACTAATGAATCTTAAAGCAGACAGCGAAACGCTGCATGCTTAAATTAAACATCCACATCAGAGAAGACTAAAAAACCTGAAATATCTCTTTAAACGAGTTTTACATTTTCCACTGTTTAAGTGGTCATGTTTCCTCTCAGATTTCTGCCAGATTTAACTACTGTTTCAAACACTTTATTTTACTGCAGAGTAATTTGCATATTTAGACTTGAACAGTTATTTGTTATTAAAATGCAACAAAGTGACTCCCATTCCTCCACATACCATTGTTATTTTTAAGTACTGCAGTGCAAACACACATAATTTATGCTAAAGCATAATCAGTGTTGGGTTTTGTTCTTATGAACCACAGTGTCAGTCAGTCTCATGGTAAAAATATTATTTAAAATATTAAATACTCCATGAATGACTGAATTCTTTCTAATGAAGCGTGTATACATTGTTTAGCGCGGTTATCTAAAACGGTTGTATGATACAGATGCTTGGTCAGCCTGGTAATTACAACTCTTAAGTGTAAGACCTGACACGTATTCAGTATTATGCAGCTTTATACTGTAGTTCCTCTGTTATTCCTTCTTGCAGTAGATGCAACAGATGAAGGTTTTTCCTCATGAAGCTTTTACACTCGGCTAAATTCTCTCTATCTGTGTGAACTTCTTTTCACTCAGATGGTGTGATCATTTCCTGTTCAGATCATCATATGCTGGATTTTTACCTTTTTGCTTCAAAGCTGTAGAAACTCTTATGTCTATTTTTTGTTCTTTGCTGCTGCTGCTGTTTCTTTTTCTAACCCACCATGAAGATGAGGCCTGATGCTACAGGCAAATGTTGGCCTGTGTTTGAAATAGTGTGTTCTATCGAATCTAATCAAACTTTATTTAGAACACTTTTATACATCACTGTGCAACACAGAGTGTCAACACAAGGTCATACTCATGTGACCGTGATGACCTCTTTAGTAACAGTAATGGCCCCAAGAGTGTTTTTGTTTCTGAACACAACTTCTAAGCTTCCTACTCCCAACCTGACATTTAGAACTGAAGAAGCCTCTTGGATATGAGGCAAAACATCCGGACGATAACCAGAATAGTTCACTTTCAATTAAATGAAAACACAGAGTGCTTTACATAAAAACAAACATAAAATAAATGCAACAAACAAACAAAAACCACAAGACAACAACTAAAAATGTGAGCTTAAAAGCAGCTGAAGGAATCCTGGCCCTAGAAGGTTACTACCTGCATGTTTTCTGTTTCCCTGCACCAACACACCTGGCTTGAATCAATGGCTTCTAAGAAACCTAAATGACCTACTGAAGAGGTTATTCAGTTGTTGAATCAGGTGTGTTGGAGCAGAGGGACAGCTGTAACATGGAGGAGATGCCCTCCAGAACTTATACTGAACAGCCCTGCTGTAAAGCTTTCTGTGGCTCAAAAGAAAGACAGAAATTTATTCAGTACGTTGAGCTTGATTTCACAGCTGCCTGACTGATTGTTGAAAGAGTCCAGTTTATGTGACAGTGCGACAAACCTCCCTGCGACATTTTAATGCTGAAACAGCATTTAACTATTAAAATGTCAGTCTCTCAGCCTTTGTCCACCACAGCTGTAGCTGTAGTCTTATTTTATTGTAGCTTATAACATGTCAGCTGTCTAATATTTTAATTACAAACAGCTGTGAGTCATGCATTTAAACAAATAAATGAAGTTAAACATCTTACATGAGGTCATTATCTTGTCAGTCAATCATGCAACTGGAGGATCATCAAACTGGATGTGGCTCGCTGCTACCATCTGGTGCTCAAAAAGTGAGCTACAGCCTAAAGTGGTAAACAGCATGTGAGAAAACAAGTGAAACACGAAAATAAAGTTAAAAAAAGTTATTTTTGACTTCATCTGATTAAACACTAAAACACAAACGCGTGTTTATTGTTTTCATCCTGTTTAGAGGTTTCTACTCTGTGACGTCTCCCTTTTCTTTGATACTATAATTCGTATACAGCTGCCGCTTATCTTTTTTAGTATTTAGGATGAAAGTTGACCAATACGAGGCTTAGTTAAAAAAAAGCATTATAAAATATTTGCCACCAAACATGTGACTAAGGTTTGCTACAATAGCATGAATCCAGCTCTTGTGAATCCTTCATGTTGTTTTTAAATTTAACTTTGTGGCAAATAGATCAGAATTTTAACCAAATGTTTTTAGTGCAGCAAACTATTGAGCTGCGACCATCGACATATAAAAATATGCAACTGTCAAACCAATCTGACCAGCAGCACAGAAAACGGTAACCCAACAAGTGTGATGTATCTGCCTCATATTGGAGATAAACCTGAACTTCTTTTCATGTTTTACATAAACACTAATCTGTTTGGATCAAAATCCGTATATTTTGTTTTTGTCCATATAGACTTTTAAATTAGTGGCTGACACATTTTCATGTCTAACAATTTTGAACCACATACACTTCTGTCCATCTCAGGCAGATTTAGCAATCACATATTTATTTATTACATTTTGAGAAATCCCTAAAGACAATTTTAAATAAGAAGGCAAACGTCGTCCCTGGTAATCCAAACTGACTATTTAATCCTGACATATCCCATACTGTTTATGGATGGTGCGCAATGCGCATGCGCGGTGGCCTTCGGCTGGCTTTCGTTTTGGTTTTCATCCCAAAGTGAAAGCAAACTAGAGTCTGATTGCAGGCGGATCCTTTCGCGGTTTTAACTTAAATGAAACTCCAAATTAACACAAAACCACCAAACATTTGAACTCTACCTACCCGGTCTGTGTGAAGGGTGAGTTTTGTTTCGGAACAGCAGTGTTTTTAGTTAGTCCTGTGTTTAATCTGCTATTTTACAGGTTTGGACTCTGGATACTTTTGCTTTTAGATTTACACACTGTAAACTCTGTTGACACAAAATCATGCATGATGGTCAATACTTAGCTGCTGTACATACTACAAACTTTACTTTTAGGAAAAAATAGTCCTCTCATTTTTTGTGAATTTTTCAATTTTTCTAATTTCAATAAATCCTACACCGTAAATTCTGTTGACACAAAATCATGCGTGCTAGTCAATACCGAGCTGCTCTACATACTACAAACTTTACTTTGAGCAAAAAAGTTCTCTGATTTTTTGCGAATTGTTTAAATTTTCTAATCTCAATAGCTCCTACACTGTACACTCTGTTGACACAAAATCATGCATGATGGTCAATACTTAGCTGCTCTACATACTATAAACTTTACTTTTAGGAAAAAATACTTCTCTAATTTTTTGTGAATTTTTTAATTTTTCTAATTTCAATAGCTCCTACACTGTAAATTCTGTTGACACAAAATCATGCGTGCTAGTCAATACCTAGCTGCTCTACATACTACAACCTAGAATTTTATGGGAAAAAAAACTCATTTTTTGTGATTTTTAAATTTTTCTAATTTCAATAGCTCCTACACTGTACACTCTGTTGACACAAAATCATGTGTGCTGGTCAACACTTAGGTCCTCTACATACTACAACATTGATTTTTTGGAAAAAATACTTCTCTGATTTGTTGTGAAATTTTTAAATTTTTAATTTCAATAACGCCTACACTGTAAACTCTTACATTGTAAACTCTGTTGACACAAAATCATTCATGATGGTCAATACTTAGCTGCTCTACATACTACAAACTTTACTTTTAGGAAAAAATATTTCTCTCATTTTTTGTGAATTTTTAAATTTTTCTAATTTCAATAGCTCCTACACTGTAAATTCTGTTGACACAAAATCATGCGTGCTGGTCAATACCTAGCTGCTCTACATACTACAACCTTGAATTTTAGGGGGGGAAAAACTTCTCTAATTTTTTGTGATTTTTAAAATGTTTCTAAATTCAATAGCTCCTACACTGTACACTCTGTTGACACAAAATCATGTGTGCTGGTCAACACTTAGGTCCTCTACATACTACAACATTGAATTTTTGGAAAAAATACTTCTCTGATTTGTGAAATTTTTAAATTTTCTAATTTCAATAACGCCTACACTGTAAACTCTTACACTGTAAACTCTGTTGACACAAAATCATTCATGATGGTCAATACTTAGCTGCTCTACATACTACAACCTTTACTTTGAGCAAAAAAATACTAAAGTGGGGGGAACAACACCGGCATGATGACCGGGGTGTAAGTATACAAAAAATATGTATAAAACTACAGCCAAGAGGCTCTTTTATGCAATGCCAGGAATGCAGAACTGTCAAGAACACAGGTGGCAGGCCAATCACACGTTAGCAAGTATCAGCAGAGCCAATAGATGAGCTTATGGACAGTTCTAAAGGGTAACAGGCTTCAACACAAGCAGTTGTTTTCCGCTTGGTCCTAGTGCTCAATCAGTGTCTATTTAATATAGCGTAATATTGACTTTGGAAAAAGCATGCCCCCCCCCCCCCCCCCCCCCCAAAAAAAAATACGTCCATGCTTAAAGGGACTTTACAGAGTTTTGAATTTTTATGCTCGCGATTGCCCCCTCAGGCCGAAAGCGTAATGGCAGCTTCAATACTAGGCTTGTGCACGAGGCGCGCATGCTGTACGTGCACACTCCTTAACGAAAATAACAGCTGAGACAGAGCTCTGTGAAGCTGACTCCCGTCAGCTTCAAAAGTGGAGGCAAATAGGCCTCTGAGACAGTCCCTTGTGTGTGTGTGTGTGTGTGTGTGTGTGTGTGTGTGTGGCCCGGAGGACAGAGGACAGGAGAACGCCTAGCTAATTAATGAAATAATTTGTATCTGTATCTTTCTCTTCAGCACAGCCGACAAAGGTTTATGATGGGTCAGTCCTGCATGCTCAGATCATGCTTGAAAAATTGTTCCAAAATGAAAAATGAACCCACATCTTTTTTATCTGTGAATTCAATGCCGTTCGGCGAGTCTCAAATAAAAATTTGGGCATCTTACTGTAAAAATATATACCATTAATGTAAAACAGAAACTCTAAATGAACTATGCTCACATCCAGAATCAAACCCGGGTCTTCTGCATGAAGGACTGTCATCTTACTAGGCGTGCTACAGCACCAGTGACATATTTTGTGTCTGTAACATTTATATCCTTGATGACAGTGAAACAGCGTTCAAAGAACGGTTCAGAGGGCTATGCCTGAGCGTGAACGCGCATGAAGCAGCCTGCTTGACCCGAGCAGCTCTCTTTTTCTGTGATTTTACAGAAAAATAGGCAATCACAGTAAAAATGCCAGGGCTCATTCTACAGGACCAGGGCATTGCAGGAGAATGTATGAAGAAGAAATTTATTATTTCTATACATGTTTTGGCTGTCAAACTTCCATAATGCCCCTTTAAGATGGTCTTAGTGTAAAGATAAGCTGTGGGTTATATACGTTGCTTCAAGCCATTCCAGGCCTCTAATAAATTTGTGTTTATATAACCTGTCTGGTTAAACTAGAATGTTTCTAGCTGTATTCTCCTGAATAGAGAATATAATGTTGTTAGTTACAAGTGAACACTGAATGTTCACATTCACGTGACTATGTCCTGAACAGCTGTGATAAAAGAGTCCTGATCATTTCCTGACATGTTCTGACTAAATCTTTGCAGAAATGGATAAACTGACTGATCATGACAACTCTCAAACGAATGATCTCATATCATTTGAAGACAACCAACATAATGAAAACAGGAAACCTGACTTGGTGAAACAGCAGAGCAGTGACTCCAGCTCAGCGCAGGCAAGCAGCTCTGCTGGCTCCTCCTCTGATGGATGCAGTACCACGAAGGGTAATAAAACAAAAGACAAAGATACGGAGTTGGGAATGCTAACCGGTGAAGACAGCTTGTCAGATTGTCAGCTGAGTGACCTGAAAAAATTCCCACAGCATGACGTGCTTGCCCCACTGAAGTTCAACAAGTCTCACACTGTTCTCATAAACGTGAGTTGTTTCCCGTTTTCCTCCAATGCTGAGAAGTTCAAATAATGATACTGATACAGTCGTTTTATTTAATAGTATTGATTCTGCCTGAAGCTGGTGGCACAACAAAGATGACTCACTGTTCAAAAGTCAAACTTTTGTATGTTGATGTTTTCATGATGGTCATTGGTTAGTTTGTGTATGAATAAAAATAGGGAAGGGGAACAAGTCTATGGGGGTACATCATCCTGGTGTGAATAGTTCAAAACCAACATCCATCCAGTAAGGGATGGGGAGATGGTGGCAGAGGAACTAATGGCCCACCCATTAACTGGAGGTTTGCAGTCATGTACTCGGATCTAAACACTTTATCCTCCTTGCCTGTTGGTGGTGGTGCCTGTGTATGGCAGGCTCATTTCCTTTGGAGATCTTTTCCCCCGTGTGCAGCTTCGTTTTGGTTATTTGTTTGGTCTTGGAGCTTCAGCTCCATGTTTATTTGCCTTTAATTTATATTAATTATTAATTTCCCTTTAACCTTCAACCATGGCGTTCCACCCCTTGTTTTCGTTATGGCTTCGTGAGCTGGGTTGTAACAGTTGATCAAAGGAAACCAGAGTACACACAAGCTGTGTTTACATGGGCACAAGTAATCAGAATGAACGCCCTATCAGATAAAAAATTCAGTCAGAATGACACATGTACCCATCCATTCGGATTGTTGGAGTAAAATAATGCCCACTGTGCAACATAGCATTAGCCAACGAGCCTCCTCGCCATCATTTAGACAGCCTGACTACAAATATGATGGCCTAATTAACAAGCGACGGCTTTTAAATTTGATGGCAAGCCGCCCTGTTTCAGTCATTTCTAATGCAAACTTTAAATTTTGTAGAAGTTACATTAAAATCTGATTATTGCACAAACCGAATAGATAAATAAATGCATTCAATTGATTAAATTAATCAGGAAAGCAGGAAGAATTGTCATCGTCTTCCTCCGCTTATCCGGGTCCGGGTCGCGGGGGCAGCATTCCAACTAGGGAGCTCCAGACCGTCCTCTCCCCGGCCACCACCACCAGCTCCTCCGGCAGGACCCCAAGGCGTTCCCGGACCAGTTTGGAGATGTAACCATTCTAACGTGTCCTGGGTGGACCCGGGGGCTTCCTGCCGGCAGGACATGCCTGAAACACCTCCCCAGGGAGGCGTCCAGGAGGCATCCTGACCAGATGCCCAAACCACCTCAACTGACTCCTTTCGATCCGGAGGAAGAATTGTTATTTCTGTTTTTACATTTTTCATTTCGTTTCATAGCATTTGTTTACAATTTTTTTTCCAAGAAAGACAACTCTCTGCGCATGCTGAACCTATTTAATCTGACTGAATGCTTGGTGCAGATAAACTCACGGCATGATCGGATCATTTCAGCTGGTGTCCATGTAAGAGATTTGGAATTTCTGATCAACCAAGACTTGAATCAGATAGGGGAAATTTGGTGCATGTAAACATAGCTATAGTAAACTCATGCATCCATGATAACAAAAAAGATAAATGGTCTGTATGTATGTAGCCCCTTCTAGCGTCCTAGACACCCCCGCCACCCCCCCAAGGGGCTTTATAACACGACAATCATTCACCCATTCACACACCGATGGTGATGAAGAGCTATGTTGTAGCCACAGCTGCCCTGTAAGACATAAGATACAATCGGCACCACTGGTCCCTTCAACCACCAGCATGCAAGGAAGGTGATGTGTCTTGCCAAAGGACACAACTACAACAGACTGAGTGGGGCGGGAACCTGCAACCCTCTGGTTATGGGGCAGGGTCTTTATTCTTCTACCACCATTGCTCCCCATGGGGAGAGCTTGCACACTCTCCACATAAAGGCAGCAAGTTCAACACTCTGTTACACTGACACGACTAAGCTCGTATGCTACTTTTGACAAAATATCCCAGCATGTGAGTGTTAAATTGAGCTTCATCAACTTGTGAAATAAATCTGTCTGGGAAATCTAAGTTTCCCTTTTCTGTCATTTAGGTGCATGCTTTCACCTGTGAAGCAAAGATCCTTCCTCAGGATGGGAGAGACCTGTGGCACAGTGACTTTGTGAAGATGCCATGTTCACCAACTAGCACCGCTACAACAAGGGTGACTAATGGAACAAACTTCACAAGCTTTTATTGTTTCAGTACTGTTGTGTTGTGTAGGAGTGCAAAGGATCGTCATTGATTGCATTTTAACCCTTTGATGCATAATGGTCACTACAGTGGACAGGTACTCAAAATTGTTATTTATTTGTTTTTGCTATTAAGCACAGCTGTTGAAGACTTTATTGCATGTGAGCCCCTCCATTTGGACTTCAGTAAGTCAAGCCAACATATTTCATGTTCAGAATACACGCTGTCCACTGAGGTGGACATGTAATAAATTATTAGTAAATTAAAAAAATTTTGCAAAAAATATTTGTTGAAATTTGTTTCATTCACACCCAAAGATCAATGAAAAAAATTGTTTAAAAAATCATGGTTGAAGATTTCATAATTCATGCATCAAAGGGTTAATGTAATTGATAATATTCTCAATATTCACCAACCAGTGGGTATTGAGCCCTCAGTGATGTCTTGCGAAGCATTTTTGAGTTTTTTTTTGTGGACAAAATAGTCAATATCAGAGCTCAGATTTCATCAGTCACCTGTCAGACTCTTTCTGGGACCTCTTCAGCTACTTTAGTCAGTTTGAGTTGCTTACGTTGGACTGCCTTTGGGATTTTGTTAGCTCTTTAAAACCTGCTGGTTCTCCCTTGGATTTGATGCCCCCTAGGCTTTTAAAATAAGTTTTTTTTTTAATCACTTGGCCCTTGGGTTCTTGCTATTATTAATCCGAGCATTGTCTCTGGAGTAGTACCAGGGAACTGGAAACATGCTGTTGTTCAGCCTTTATTGAAGAATCCTGAACTCGACTGTAGCAATTAATACATATTAACAATACGATGTGACATTCCATAAAAATATGAAATATCAATCGGATTGATCTTTGAAAGTTTAACCAGAAGATTCTAGGGTTCTTTGCTTATTTAGGGACCAAAAACACACCTCGTATTAATTCAGACAGAGTCAAGTATATAGTTTATAAAACTAATTTTATTCTTTTTCCTAAATTAACTATTTATACATGACAAGATATGAATAATGAGATGTGGTGTGGTGGATGTGAAGTGTTGTGATGGAAGCTAGATGTTGAAGCAACCGTTCTTTGTATCTGAGAGAAATTGTGAAATCTGGGTGTAAAATAATTTGTTGTTTATTATAAACCTCATCAGACACCATTGTATGAGTTGCTCCTGGCGGTCCGGAGGGTTGCGGTCAGAGTGGCATTTACTTTTTCTTGGCGTCTGGAAAAACATCTCCATTTGCCCCCCTTTATTTAACGTTCTACACCCCTGCTTAGTAGACTTAATGAAGTATTTTTAAGCCAGTATAAAAATGACTGAATTACAAATTTACATATTTGGCATTAGTGACCAATATCTTTGATTTATTTGTTAAGAACATCAAGATGCATTACAGTGAGCATTATAATAAAGTACATTTTTCTAGTGCAGAAAGGAGACAACCCATAGAAACACTGATTTGATCTCATTTCAGAGAAAAATAGAACAGGTCAGATGCACCTAATAAATAAAATTACTAACATAAACTCAGGAATCTGTTTCTTTGCTTCATTGTTCTGGTGCTGAAAATATCACTAATGCGGATCAAAGTACATACACATGAATGCACCTTATTATTTAGAAATTAGTAGGCGTGATTTACATCAATACATTATTTTAAATCAGAAATTGATATGGATTGATCAGAAGTTGTTTATTTATAAGCCATTGTTTATTTGAAAACTATTTACAGAGCAGCCTCAGAATTGAGATTAAATATTTTTGATCACAATAGTAAAAGTATTACAGAACAAGTTTTTCAGTAAAATCAGAACATTAATATTTAAGTGCATGAATTAATACATCTGAACTCATGCAGTAGGAACTATATGAAATACTAGAACCAGACACAACTTTTTATTTTATTTTAATTTGGTTAAACTGATTTTTTCCTAACGTTGTTGGCATTTTTGCCCACACACAGTTAAACAAAACAATGTTGATTAAGGTGTGTGTGAGACAAAGATAGAGAGGGAGAGAGAGTTAAAATAATTTTTAAAAACCCGGCCGGAGCGGAGGCAGTGACCGACTCATGCACAAGCCGTTTTCAGCTCTGTCTTGTCAAATGCACCACGTACGTTACGAAAAAGTAACTTTAAATATTGAACTGAAAAAGAGGCGAGCTGAAGAAAACGTAGAGAGTACTGAAAAAACGTGAGAGACATTGAAGCAAGCACAGAGAGATCTGTTACTGTCTGTGTGTGTGCGTGGATGCCTGGGCCGGGCTGACTGAGCTCCTGGCTGCAGAGTTTTGTGCACAGGGAGGGGCGGGCGCTCCATGTGACTGGCCAATCACAGAGCATGAAGACAGTCAGTTACCCAATGAGGATTTTCATTCAGCACGATTACAGATATTTACGAGGTTTACTCGTTTCGTTTCATGCTCGTATTCGTCAAAAATGCTTTATCCGTACCGGATACTTGTCTGAAACGAGTATCCGGCTCATCCCTAGTTGTTACTCAATAATAAAATTATTCCTCAAAAATACAACTTGACTAATAATTCTGCACTCCCTGTAGTGTGTGTGTTCCCCTCCCCACTTAGATAATTTGTTTACTTAGTTTTAGATCTCCCTGTGTCTGTTCCACTATGTTTAAGTTAAGTTAGGGTCATTGTAGTAGCTTGGTTTGCAGGGTTAGATTTGGTTTTCTCCCCTGCTTATTTCTGCTTCTCCCCTCGGTTGATTAGTTTCACCTGTGCCTAATTCCCCATGCACCTGCCCCTCGTCTCCTATCACCGAGCCCCTGTCTGTGTCACTCAGTGTTGTCGGTCCATTGTTGTTTGTCAGCGTTGTTTTGTCCCCCCACTAGGTCTCTAGGTCTCCGCTTATAAAGTGAGCTTTGCTTTGTAGTTCATTGTTTTAGTTACTAGGCTTGGCTTCCTGCCCCTTTGGGTTTTGGTTCACTATCCTAAATAAAGGATTACTTTTTACATTCCCTCCTGCCTCGTGTCATCTGGTGTTCTGCATCTTGGGTCCCAACCTCCTCCCGCTCTCAATGTGACAATTTGCTTTGTGAAAGTTTTGCTGAGTAGTGATTTTGCTGATTTTTTTTTTGATGATGATGATGATGAGGATGTATGTGTATTTGTTGTGCTGTCATGGCAAATGAGACAGACAAGTAATTGAACTAAAACAAAACAATTGTGCAGGGCTTAATCGGAACCAACGTGGTGAAGAGATGGGAACTCATCGACAAGCAGCTGAAAAGTCTTGCCAGTCTGAAATCAGTGAAGGTAGATCGCCTAGAGGTAGGTTTGCACCATTACGGCTTGCAGTTTTATTTTATTTTATCTTTTTAGAAAACTTTTTTCTATGGAATTCTATTAACCTCAAGTTTTAAAAACTCTCCAGGAAGCCATCCTTAACTACAACCCTGCGTACAAAGGCAAGTGGTCATTTGATGCTCTATCCAGTTTAGTTAAGGTCAGTGTTCAACTTGACATTACTGGTTTTTTTCATGTTTACTGTGAATGATAAATATTTATGTTTTCTTTCTAGCAAGTCCCAAGAACAGATAACTACTTTGAAGAACTGTTTCCTAAGATTGCGGCCCTGGCCTTGAAGCTGCCTCACCACGTCAAAAAGGTATCAGTGGAAGCAGGGCGAAGTATTCATTTCATGAAGCGTGTCTGCTATAAAACATATGCATCTGAGCCTTAGATGTCAAAAAAAGTCAACTCTCTGCATCTCCGTACCACAATTTAGAAATGGACCTAAAATTCTGAGAGGCTGGGCTAATTGTTGCTGACTGAAGATTGCATGTTTCCTTGTGCTCAGGCTATACCACTGCTTCAGAGGGGACACCATGCAGCCATCACTCTGTCACAGCTCCAGATTGCCTGCCTGCTTGCTAATGCTTTCTTGTGCACCTTTCCTCACCGGAACACCCAGAGACCTGAAGCAGAATACCATAACTACCCATCCATCAACTTCAACAAGTCAGCTAAAGCAGAATCACACATTCTCCTCTGTTTTGTGCACATCATATGAGCTAACAGTTGGTCAATTCTGCCATCAGATTGTTTGGATACTCGAAGAGGAAGAAAGAGAAGCTGAGGGCCATCATGCATTACTTTAGAGTGGTGACACAAGAGGGTGAGTGGAAACATTTACCCTTCACTTTCTCCCCATTTCTTTATCAAAGTTGCACAAAAGGACAAACAGAGTTGTGCATCTGAGGACGAGGTTACAGTCAGTGAGTGTCTGTTGATGTCTCTCCCCAGAATCTAAACCGAATGGATTGGTGACTTTTGAGAGGTTTTGCATCGGAAACTCAGAAAAACCCAACTGGGGAAGGTAGTAGCTATTTTATGTTCATGAACATTTAAAACCCTACAGAGAATGACTAATGGCTTTAATACACATTTATGCATTGAATCATTTTATTATTTTGCATTATTTGTAAGCACCATGGTTGTTTTAGTGCTCAGTATGTTGCGTTTTTGGAAGACCTTGTAGAGTGAATATTTTTATTATCACCCAATCCTGAAAGAGACACAGGGACAGCAGCCCTGGCATGGAGACCAAGACTGTCTCCAGCTACACCATTAGGAGCCCAAAAATTAGACATTAAAACACCAAAATACATGTTGATAAGCCACAAAGCTTCTGGGAGAATGTTATTTGGATCGATAAGACAAAATGGGAGCTTCACATATTTTTATTAGATTTTTCCTGAACTTGTCTCAACCCATGTGTTGTTCCCATGTTAGCTGCGAAGAGAAGCTGCAAAAACTTCACGTTACTTCACAGGGCAGCATTGAGAAAGATGGTATAGGGATGCTTCAGGTGAGAACCAAACCATATGAGTTGGGTTCATGGATGGTTTCAATTTGCAGAGCATTGATTGATTGTGTGTGTGTGTGTGTGTGTGTGTGTGTGTGTGTGTGTGTGTGTGTGTGTGTGTGTGTGTGTGCAGGTGGACTTTGCTAACAGCTTGATTGGTGGAGGTGTTCTGGACTCTGGTCTGCTTCAGGAGGAGATCCTGTTCCTGATGAATCCAGAACTCATCGTGTCTCGCCTCTTCACCGAGAAACTGGCGGACAATGAATGTCTCATCATTACAGGTTCAAAAAACTTTTCAACAAATATAAAATTATGGCAGTAATTGCAGTATTGATTCTATCTGTGTTTAACACATTTGATTTTTTTCTTTCTGTTTTATTTGCGTTTATTTTTGTTTTTGAGAAGTGCCTCATGATTTTTATCTTGAGATACACTCTATAAAATATTGTTTTCTTTCTTTCTTTATTTCTGATTAGTGATGTAAACAAGTTGTTAACTTTGCCAGGCTTCAGGTTTATTGGAGGTTCCTAGAATATCAAAAAATAGGGTGGGAGGCAGATCTTTTAGCTATCAGGCCCCTTTCTTGTGGAACCGGCTCCCAGCTTTAATTCATGCGGCAGACACCTTGTCTACTTTTAAGACTAGGCTTAAAACGTTTTTATTTGATAGGGCCTATGGTTAAATTTGTTATTGGCCAAGATCTGGATGATTGGGGGAGTAGAGGGAGGTGGATTGTACAGTGGGGCATACAGTCGGTAAAGACGGCTCTCCCTTGCCCTGCCTCCAACATGCCTCCATCTAAAAGGCTAGGTTATCCAGAGATCTCTGTAGTTATGCTGCTATAGGCTTAGACTGCTGGAGGACATGTTGACCACTTTCCACACTTTACTACTTTCTTCTACAATTTCTGTCCTAATTGTATTATTTCCTGCTATTTCAGCTGTTAATCTTATTTTTTCTCTAAGTGTTTTTCTCCTCAGAAGAACCTGCAATAGAGCTCCGGATGTCACGTGACTCTCAGAGCGTAGATGCCATGCTGGCAGGCATCAATGTAAACAAAATGATCAAAACCAGCATGGATTTTACTCCATCAGAGTTTACTTTACATTTTTAAACCGAAGATATAGTTTTATGTACTCAGAAATTAAATAGACTAAACATCTCAGACTCTTACCATGCCCATATGGGATACTTTTTAAAACTCCAGAAGCTGTCTGTCAGGTTCGTTGGCAGATCTGAAGCGTGACTGAGAGTGCTGTTGCCCAGACGCGGAGAGACGGAGATAACCGGCGTGGTTATTTCCTGTAGGTGTAGCTTGAGGGTTTAGAGGGCTAGTAAGCCTGGAGACTCGATGCAAAGTCTGGTGAGAACGATGACTGAGCAATGAATGAAACGCCGGCACTTCCTTAAGTAGTGTCGGCGTGATGACGTCAGTCGCCACGTTAGTGGCAGGAATGAATGGAATGCAGTCAGCTGGAGGAGTTCGTGACAGGACCCCCCCCTCTAGGGACGGCACCCGAAGTCCCAGGACGGCGGGCCCAGAAGTCTGTTAGCAGGGCAGGATCGACAAACGAGCTCGTGGGCTCCCAAGAGCGTTCCTCAGGCCCGTACCCCTCCCAGTCCACGAGGTACTGCCAACCTCGTCCCCGGCGGCGGGCGTCCAGTATCCTGCGGACCGTGTAGGTGTGATCCGCCTCAACATCGCGGGGCGGAGGCACCCGGACCGGTGGAGGGTGGAGAGGAGAGGAGATCACCGGCTTAAACTGGGAGATGTGAAAGACCGGGTGGATCCGGAGAGTAGCCGGGAGGCGTAGACGGCAGGTGACTGGATTGATGACCTTGAGGACAGGGAACGGACCCAGGAAGCAAGGAGTGAGCTTCCGGGAGCCAGCCGGCATCCTCAGGTTAGCGGAGGAGAGCCACACCTGGTCGCCAGACCGGAAGACGGGGCCAAGCCGGTGGCGGCGGCGATGCTGACGGGCATACTCCGTGTTGGCCCGGGTGATGGCCGCACGGGCCCGGATCCAGGCGAGCCGACAGCGGCGGACCAGCGTCTGGGCAGCAGGGACCTCCACCTCTGGCACCTGATGATCAAACAGAGGAGGCTGATAACCGTAACAGGTCTCGAAGGGAGACAGACTCGTGGCAGAGGAGGTCTGGAGGTTGTGTGACAGCTCCGCCCACAGGAGAAAGCGGGGCCAGGTGGTCGGCTGGGACGAAGCGAAGCAGCGCAGGTAGCGTCCAAGCTGCTGGTTAGCTCTCTCTGTCTGACCGTTTGTCTGCGGATGGTATCCAGAGGACAGACTGGTGGAAGCACCGACCAGGCGACAGAACGCCTTCCAGAAGCGTGAGACGAACTGGGGTCCTCGGTCGGAAACCACGTCCTGAGGGAAACCATGGAGCCGCACCACCTGTTCCAGGAGCAGTTCGGCCGTTCTCTTGGCAGTGGGGAGGCCGGCCAGGGCCACTAAGTGCACGGCCTTGGAGAAACGGTCCGTGATAGTCATTATAGTGTCCAGGTGGTCGACCACCGGCAGTCCCGTGACAAAGTCCAGCCCGATGTGTGACCACGGCCGTTTGGGCACAGGGAGAGGCTGCAACTCTCCAGCGCCGGGTCGGTTGGAGGACTTGGAGCGAGCACACACATCACATGCAGCAGTGAACTCGCGGACGTCCTTCCTCATGGACGGCCACCAGAGAGCCCGACGGAGGAACTGGAGGGTACGGGCTTGTCCTTGATGTCCCGCGAGCCGCGATCAATGCCCCCACGTGAGCGCCTCTTGCCGGCAGGAGGCGGGAACGTAGAGACGGTTCGGTGGGGTCTCCGGCGGCGCTGGATCGCCAGGAAGTGCCGCCTGTATGGACTGCTCCAACGGCCATTGGAGGGAGGCCAGGAAGCGTTGAGTCGGCAGAATGGTCCGAGGCTCCGGGGGGGCGGCATCTGGTGCGAAACGCCGAGAGAGAGCGTCCGCCTTGAGGTTCTTGGAGCCGGGCCGGTAGGCGATATGGAAGTGGTACGGCTCGAAAAAGAGGGCCCACCGAGCCTGACGTGGGTTGAGCTGGCGGGCAGTCTGTAGATGAATGAGATTCTGGTGGTCGGTCCAGATCAGAAAGGGATCGGTGGTCCCCAGGAGCCACTGCCTCCATTCCTCCAGCGCCCATTTTATTGCCAGCAGCTCTCTGTCGCCGACCCCGTAGTTCTGCTGTGTGGGGGAAAACTTCCGGGAGAAGTAGGCACATGGGTGGAGCTTAGAGTCTGGACCCCGTTGCGAGAGAACGGCCCCCGCTCCCACATCTGAGGCGTCCACCTCCACGACGAAGGGCCGGGTCTGGTCCGGGTGGAGGAGGATGGGTTCCTTAGTGAAACGTCCGACCAGCTCATGGAAAGCACGGACAGCCTCTGGAGTAAGGCGAAAAGGGCGAGGCTGATTGGTGGTTTTGGTGAGTGAGGTCAGTGGTGCTGCGAGGGAGCTGAAGTTGCGTATAAACCTCCGGTAAAAGTTCAAGAAACCCAGGAAGCTTTGCAGCTGCTTCAGGGTCGTGGGTAGAGGCCACTGAGCTACGGCCTGAACCTTCTGGGGGTCCATCTTCAGGCCCTGGGAGGAGATGGTAAAACCCAGGAAGGAGGTGGACTCCTGGTGAAACGCACACTTCTCCAGTTTGCAGTAAAGTCCATGGTCCAGGAGGCGGGACAGAACCGCTCGAACATGACGGATGCGCTCTTCAGCCGTGCGGGAGTAGATGAGGATGTCATCTAGATACACAAAGACCCAGCGGCCCAACATGTCTCTCAGCACATCTGTAATGAACCGCTGGAAGACGGCGGGGCTGTTGCAGAGTCCAAAAGGCATCACCAAATATTCATAGTGGCCAGTGGGCGTGATAAAAGCGGTCTTCCACTCCTCACCTTCCTTAATACGGATGAGGTTATAGGCGCTGCGCAGATCCAGTTTAGTGAACACTGCGGCTTGTGTGATGGCGTCCAGAGCTGTGCCCATGAGAGGGAGAGGGTAACGGTCCCTGATCGTTATTTTATTTAACCCTCGATAGTCTATGCAGGGCCGGAGATCACCCTCCTTCTTCTTAACAAAGAAAAACCCCGCGGCCCCGGGGGATGTTGAGGGTCGGATGAATCCCTTCTGCAGGGCATCAGTTATATAATTGTCCATAGCCCGGGTTTCCGCCGGAGAGAGGGAGAACAGGCGACCCCGAGGGGGGGTGGTGCCGGGCTGGAGCCTGATCTCCAGGTCGTAGGGTCGGTGAGGAGGTAACCTGGTAGTGGGTTCTTTAGCGAAGACCTGAGCGAGGTCGTGGTATTGAGGAGGGATGAGCGTCAGGTCTACGTCTGTGGGAGTGGCTGCTCTGGTCCGAGGTGCAGGGGAGTCCCGGTGGTTATGGCAACCCGTGCCCCAGGCCAGGACTTTACTGGTGGACCAGGAGATGTGAGGCTCATGGCGGCAGAACCAGGAATGACCCAGGATGAGTGGCGTGGCCGGAGCCTGGATGACCAGGAAGTGGAGGGTCTCCCGGTGTTGGTCAATAGTCATGTGGAGACCCTGAGTTCGGTGGGTGAGAGGGTACGGCATGATGGGCCGGCCGTCCACAGAGGTCACGGGAATGGGTCGGTCGAGGGCGGTGAGGGGTATCTTGAGCCGAGTAACCAGTCCGTGATCGATAAAACACTCCGCAGCCCCAGTGTCTAAAAGTGCCTCCAGTCTGGTCGGGCCTTGGTCCAGGTGGAGGGAGACCGGGAGAGTGGTTCGGTGTGGAGCCGGAAAGGTGGAGACTCCGGGTGGGACAGCTCCTACTCCGACCCGGAGGGACCTTTTCCCGGTCGTTTTGGGCACGTGCCACGGTGGTGACCCAAATCCCCACAGTAAGCGCATCTTCCCTCCTGGTAGCGCCGTGCCCGTTCCTCAGGGGGAAGATGTCCCAGCTGCATCGGCTCCTCCGTCAGTTGGTGAGCCGGCCGGCGGGGTGACGTCCTGGTGTGTACGGGGGCTGACATGGTGCTCGGCCGGTTCAGGATGCAGCGGTCCAGTTGGAGAGCCAGATCCACTGCCAGGTCCAGGGAGGTTGGGACCTCGTGCCCGATCATGCCCTCCCGGATTCTCGGTGACAGTCCCTCCAGGTAAACGGCCTTTAGGGCGGCGTCATCCCACCTCAACCGAGCTGCTGTCGTCCGGAAGCGAGAGGTGTACTGAGCCGCCGTCTGGGAGCCCTGGCGAAGCTGAAGCAGCCGCGTCTCGTCCGAGACCTCGCTGCTGGGGTGCACAAAAGT